AACAATTAAAATGGTGAGAGGAGGTAGGAACATCCAAGAGAAAGGTGAAATGGGAATCCAGCTCTGAGAAGGGAAGTGTGGAAGAGATGAAGGATATGGATTATGATTATGTGGGGCCATGAAATGATAACCATCCTGGCTGGCAGTGTGGATCCTGCACAGAAGTCATCTTTGATCACAGAAATTGATTGGAAAGGATTGGAAGCTCATAGGAAGATGGCTCATCTGAATGACCCCATTAGTTTTGTGTCCCCCCAGTTATTCCTTTAGAATTTTATTCTTTCTCAACATTGTGTGCTTTCTTCCTTTAACTCATGATTGAATCTTTAGGAGACCCCTCTTTATGATTGTAAAAATGACCGGAGGAATAATATAGTCCCACAATTGTCATGAGAAATTTTACTCTAAATAGGAGAAATGATTTAAATTACCTCCAGAGAATTTGTCTTCATTTGCATAATTATAGCCAAAGTTTTATCTGCTGTATCTGCAGTCCCTATATAGCGTGGAGGACGTTGTAATCTCCTACTCACCACGATGGTTCTGAGAATTTCAAGCAGTCTTATCCCCATGGAGACTAGGTTATTGGGGAAGACAGACAAAATCTTTGGTTAAGTAGGTATCACACCTATTCTTGGATAATGTTAGAAGATATTCCATCCTCTTGTAGGACAGGATGGTGATTTTTCTCTTTTATGAGTCACGTTCCATTAATTCTGTTAGAATAGTTGGAACCCTGTGGATATTTTACTAGGTACTTTGTGTGACAAGTGATACAAACCTAACTCAAACTTATTCAGCCAGAGAGGAATTGTTGGCTTATAGCAATATTCCTTAGGACTGGAAGGGTTAGAGGTAGTTTCACGAAAGACTGGAACTGGAGATTTGGTTTTTCTCCTCACAGTCCTTTGCATATTGATCTCAGCCTATCAGATTGGTTCATTCCTCAAGGTGACCTTCATGTTTAATAGCTCTACAAGGTGAAAGGAAAGTAGGCCATTTCTGAGTTGGAAACCATGGAGAATGACTTTGGTTAATTTCAGTTTGGGCCTTGTGACTTTCAGTCAGTCATTACAGCCAGAGAATTGGGGTTTCCTGAACCACCTTGTACAACTTCCATGTCTCTGTCTCTCCCCTGTCCTATCTCTCTCTCTCTCTTCCCCCCTCTCTCCCTTCTCTCTCTCCCCTTTCTTCCCTCTCAACAGTTATCAGATAAAGAGAAGCTTACTCCTGGGTAGATCATTGGGCTCTGACAGACCCTCTAATTGTGGTAACCATAGGTCGAAATGAATGGGCAATAAATCTTCAGATTTATTCTTTGCATTTTATTTAGGGAATATTTTAAGCCAAACTGCTTTACCTGTAGCATCTGGAAACCATGTTCCTATGTACATTCACTGAAAAAATTGATAATACTTAATGTAAAGGTGGAGAAAACAAGGAGAGACACGAAAGTTGCCTTCAAATACTCAAAGGACAATGGAGAAGGTAGAAGACACTTGGTCTGTGCAGCTCCAAAGAATAAAATTGAGATAAGAACTGATGGAATTTGAACTCAGAGTAAGAACAGCATACAGTTTATAACTGTCTAAACTGATCATGAACTCTTGTGAAGTGGTGTGCTTCCCCGCCGTGAAAACTTTGATATTGCTGGGGAAAGGTTTAGCCTGGGTAGCCTTTTAAAGGTCTTTCATTCTGAGTTCAGGGTATTTTCTTTTACCCTGTCCATAGAAAAGAAAAAATGGATTATAAATGATAATGCCAGTTCTCCAGCATTTGTTAAATACAGTATTTCTACCTGGAAACTTGTGGTCAAACACATTCTGATAATATAAATTGTTTTTCACATTCAGGGCCAAAATGTTAACTGCATTCTGTGTATGAGATCATCTACTTCTTAATAATAAGTACAAAAAGATAAAATGAGAAAATGTAATGCAACTTCATACAAA